TATTTTCAAAGACGCCGCAGTAAAACGAATAAACAGGTGCAAAAAACAATCAAACCATCAAGGTTTTAGGTACTGAAATCTACGAAAATACTAACTTTTTTATATACAACTCCACATGTAAATATTCTTATAACATTTACTTGCTTAGTCCTACATATAAAATTGTTTACTTTTATTTATAAGTACGTGAAAATAATTCTTAAAATGTGGGGTTAGGATAACAGCAAACGCATGTTTTACAAACGCTTTTTTTTAGTTATTATTTTATTTGAGTAAATTTAAATAGTAACAATGAATAAACAGAACATCAAGTATTTTATTTTTGTGCTTACTTTTATTCTAAACGTTTTACTTTTCAAGATTTCAGTACCTAAAATCACCATAAATTTGACTATTTCTCGGCCAGGGATATGGCCACCTTAATAATAATGTAAGGTGGGCCTTTTCGGGCTAGCGCACGGAAAAAGTTTTCCCGATCTCCCACACTTTCCATGCGCTGAAATTAATACCGAATATATGGCTTTAAAATAGAAATATACAGCAAAGTAAAGTAAATTTAAGAAATCTATATGCTATCTCATATTTAACATGTACCTATCTTGTATTTTAATTAGTAAATATTTAGATACATTTCTGTAATATCTTTCGACGTTTTTGCCACCTTATCTGACTTGGACTAATTTAAAACAAATCTCCTTTGAAATAATTTGAGTGTAACCATGGAAACGCATCGTACATACCAAAAACTGTATTGTCAGCGTTGTTTATTTTCTGCCAATTAAATTTATATGCCGATAAAATATACTTAGAAGAAAATCCCGAAATGTCTGATTCTAGAGCAAACGGCACAAATGAACGCGAATTTATTACCAGTAAAATCCAAGTCAAGATATAAACACAAATATCAACTTTTTACTGAATTTCGAAATCTGAACAAAATCAAAACTGTAAGTGACGATATTCTTCTAGTTTACTTTGTTGAAAAAGCTAAGTCTATGAAATCTTCCACGTTATGGAGTCGATTGCCAATGTTAAAGATTTGTTTGGCGATAAAAGAAAATGCAACAAATACAACAAATATCGAAAAACTATTGCTTTCTTAAAGCATCAAGCTGTAGGATACACAGGGTGTGGCGTGTATAATCTATACAAATTAAACTACAGCTTCATAAGAATATTTGTAATAGAAAAGTATTATACGAAAAAGTTCAATTTTTGCTTTTTTTGTAAATTAAAGTTCAGTTATGGATCAAAATATTTTCTCTGGAACGGTCCGGTCCGTGTGCTGTACGATGAGTTACGTGCTGTAGACCAGCCGCGTAAACAAATAATCGTCGTTGAAAGATAGAAAGATACTTCTCAATTTTTTGGGGAATTTTTCAATGTAAAAGTGAAAACTAACAAAACTAGATATTTAAAAAAAAACTGATATTTTCTTATTAAAATAATTACAAGATACTATTTTAAATGCATTGTTGTTACTGCAAGAGTTCGCAAACAAAACCACATCCTTAAGCATCTGTAGTTGCCAACTGCGTGCACTAAACAAACTCCATTAAAATATGGAACTTACCATTTCTAGGGAAAATGTCGAAATTGATCCCCATTAGCGCGGATATAGGCATGGCACCGAGGCACCCAATTTTGACGAATATTTTCCCAAATTCCAGGTACTCCCCTAATTGTGTCAGTAGCTTCAAGTATACGGTTTCGCAATTCTTCCACCGTAACAATTGGAGTATTGTAAACCAATGACTTCAAGTGACTTCTCGAGTACTGTGTGGATGAGCCGCATCTTGAAAATAAAACATGTATGCCTGAACTTGTAATACCACATCGTTCTCAGGCAACCGGTTCTCCAAAAATTCGTCACCATATGTCCATTTAGTCGTCCTTCAAAGAAATAGGGACCCACAAGTACATCGCTTACTATGGCCGGTATTAGACTATAAAAGATATTTGACAAAGATCTTCTATAAAAGATATTTTATAAAAGATTTGACAGTGTAATATCACTCCTTTTATAAAATATTTGTTTTATAAAAGATATTTTATAGGAAGTCACAACAAGCGATTACCTTTGATAAAATATTTGGCAGTTTCAAAACAATATGGCGGAAGACAAGTTTGTTTGGTGCGTTTCGGCTACCAAATTGTTAAGCGTCACAATTTCCTTCAAAATATACAAAGTTCTTTGACAGTGTAATATTACTCTACTGCTCAGAAACTTTTGTTAAAGAAATATTATCAAAAAAATATTTTATAAAATATCTATGTCAAATATCTTTTATAGTCTAATACCGGCCTATGCCAGCCAAACATTTACGGAGAACTGATGTTGAAAATGAGTTTCCGTAATCGCGTGAGGATTTTCAACGCACAAATGTGCATATTATGGAAATTCACTTCATCACGGGTAAATGTCGCCTCATCTGTTACACAAACATAAGCAGGAAAGTCTACTTGATTGGCACCTTGCCGTAAAAACCATATGCAAAAACGCATTCGTTGATCACAATCCGGGGGTAAAATCTGTTGAACTGGTTGCAGATGATAGGGGTGCAACAGCTGGCGCCTTAAGATGCGATGTATGGTACGAGATGAGGTTCCTACTTGCTGTGCGAGTCGTCGAGTACTAATTGTGGGGTCTACATCAAGATTTTCCAACACAGCATCCTCAACATTAAGGTACACTTGCTGACCACGTCCTTCTCCTCGAGGAATAATACTTCCCGTATCTCGCAGCCGCTGAACGCACTGCAGTAAATGCATTGTTTTCTCGGTTCATTATAAAACTAGTTTGTACACAAACTAAAAAATTAAGCAAAGTATACAATAAGAATCCCGTTTTTAATGTAATCGGCACGCTACTCTTATTTTTACTTCTTTATAAAAATTACACTGACTCTATCGTGGAATTACAAAATAAAAACTTTTAACTGGAATCTTTCACTTTTTAACACTAATGGGTTGATGGACGATGCTTAATATTTAATAATTAAGTGAATAATGAATTCAGTACAAATAAAAAATCAGTGGACTGCACAAATTTTTTGACAATGTAACCTAACCTTTTTTTAGTATTACTAGTATTAGATTATAACGACTTAAATTATAAGGTTATATCTCGGGTCGCATAGAAACATTTCCATAGTTTTTAATAAATAACACAGGGTCGGCCTTAATTTACGCTGAATAAATGAACTTACAAAATAATATACAAAAAAAACTCGAAGATAGAACTTTTTCGTATACGATTTTTCTATTACAAATATCACCAGGAAGCTGTAGTTTAATTTTTATAGATTATACACGGTATACACACCCTGTATACCGAAAGAGTCCAAAGTTTTAACAGGAGAACAAGTAACCAAATTTTTATGTGAAGTTCCAGATGAACAATATCTACTACCTAAAGCAATTCAGTGTTTGGGATCTTTGGTGCATATCGAAGAGATGATTTAATTACGTTTAAATGTTGACGATGTGGTAGATAACGCGCTTTCTTATCGTGTTTTTACGAGATGGAAAAACTCATACATCAAGAAGTTTCACCATTACCAATGAAGGATGTACATTTGAGCCCTGCATACTTTATCGTAAATATGCAGGTCTACGACCTAAAATTATGAACAGCAGAAGATTATTTGTTGTATATCGAAACGGCAGGTGTTACGTTCAACACGTTGGATGATACCACACCATCAGTGGTGTTCCGAAAATCGTTGCAGAATACCTAAAACTAGAAGATCCCAGAAAATATACCGAGCATGGACTAAGGCGTTCATCGGCAACGATGTTGGTGGAAAGCGGCGTTGATTTACGCTCTGAAAATGCGCGGAGGATGACGTTCTTCCAGTGTAGCTGAAGGATATATACAAAGAAAAATTGAGGTATCACGAAAACTCAGTCGCAAACTATAACAACTGTATCATTCGTTCGAGAATATCAAAACATTTGCGAAGAGTTTCAATAACTACAGTTTCACTAAATTAAACTCCAAAAGGACTAAACATGTGCAATAATACGAAATGCACAATAAACATAACCATTAATAATAACAATTCAAACTAAAAACATTATTAGTTGAAGCTGGTATTATTGATAGTTAGTTAGTTAATTTTCAATATTCTTTACGCGTTTTTTTTTTCGTTTTCAAAGTAGTATAATAAAAAATATCAATCATTACACGTCCTGAAATAGATTTTTCCGTGCTTCCCATGAGAATTTGTCACACGTACACGGAAAAATCCTTATTTCCAGACTCCTAATAAAATATACTGTGTTTTGTTCTTTTTGAATAAATATCATCGCAACTAAAATGGTAAACTATTGTACAGCCTAGCAAAGTGTATTTTACAGAATATTGATATACCTGGTCCAGACGAGACGATAGAAAAAATGGCGAAAACTATCACAAAGGGGGACACTTCCATCTTGAGTGACTATACTAACTGTTCCGTTATGTACAATTTTTTTTATATTTATTCTCGGCGTTTAATCCAAGGAATTAATAAAAAACAATGGTCCTAACATTTCTTGCTAAGCCACTGGGTAAATATGCTAACAAATATTGTCGACTTTTTAAATATTTTGTCGCTGTGCTAATATTTTCTTATACGGATTAGTGGAATACTACTGACTACTAAAAATTATAATTATTTATGGTACTAGTATGTTGCGGTATATACAGGGTGTCCTAGAATAACGTGTACAACGGAACACCACGGATTCGTGAACCCCAAATTAGGCAGATCTAGGGTAATTCAGCTATATCCGAAATTGCTTAGTTTGGTCGCTAGATGGCCTCAAAGTTGGCGAAAACTTTTTAAATTTTGTAAATAACGCAGATACCTATTAATCGATTTTGATTATTTTTGGGGTGTGGACTTTTGCTTTCAATCTACATATTTTGGTGGTATACAAAGTGTTTTTTAAAACCTACAACTCCCACAAAATTATGTATGGTGATAATATCCGTTGATAACTTTTCCTCTTTCAGGCAATAATGAACTATTTTTTATCTGATAGGTGATATCATTTTTTGGGTCTCTTGTAGAATTTTGATTAAATGAGGGGTTTGGGTACAAAAAATATTTTTTAAATATTAATTTTCCCAAGTGACTTATATGACGTAACACACGAGTGCCATACAAAATTTTATCCAACACTATCATCATAGAATTTCGTTTAAAAAAATAAATAAAAGTAACTTAAAATTTCAAGTTGCAAATGTCAGAAAAAGTAATTTAACGAAATGAATGTATATTTAAATATTACAAAGGATGCGAGTGTCAACCTAAATTGTGTCTGTAACCAATATTTTTTGAGTTGAAATCACGTTGAAATCCTAAAACCAAGATTGAAATCCTAAAACCAAGACTGAAAAAATGGAAAATGTGGAAATTTCATCTGAAATTTTAGAAAAAGCTAATTCGGCTATTGCAGGCATCATTCCGAAGAAATCAAAAACCATATACAACAAAGAACTGAAGGAATTTCAAGATTGGAAAATCAAAGACGAGGTGAAAGGCGTAAATGAAGATGTCTTGCTGGCTTATTTTTTCATTTTAAGTGAGAAATTAGCTCCATCCACATTGTGGACTAAATATTCCATGTTGAAGTTAACTGAGAGTTTATAAGAACATTGAAATTTCTAAATTCCGAAGACTAGTGGCATTTCTAAAGTCTAAGCACAAACATTTTCAACCGAAAAAATCCAAGGTCTTTGAAAGAGAACAAATCGAACAATTTTTGCATGAAGCCTCAGAGGAAGATCATCTTTCTACTGAATAGTTTAACTGAGTTATATTTATTAAATTTGTTGTTTTTAGGTGGCGTTGATATTAGATATTTTTGGCGCTTGCCGTTGCGAGAAATTGACCCATCTAACAGCTGCTGGGAGTATCTTAAAAAAATAGATCGGTTTAATGATCTAAGATCAAAGATCTGATCTTAGATCTTGTATCTAGATACTTTTTTAAGGACTAGATCTATTTATAAAAAATCCTTTGAAAAAGATCTGAACTTATGATCTAAATTGAAGGATCTTAGATCCTGAAAAGTATCTAAGATCCCAAAAAAGATCTTAGATCTCAAAAATATCTTAGATCTCTTCAAATGCTAGACAAATATCCCTATAGTAAGCAACTTTTTTTTAAATTTAATACTCCAATGGCATCATCAGCCTCAGTTGAAAGAATGTTCTCNCTACAAAAATTCCTTTATTCTCATAAACTATTTATTTTAAATGTAATTTATTATAAATCCAATTTGTTTCCTAAATTCCACATATGTACTACATTTTACCTCTGTACGCGCCACTGTTGTTTACTTGTTTTTTGGAAGCGCTCTCTAATTGACGGCAAAGCTCGCCAGGTTAGTATTTGACGTATAACCGACCAGTTCGTACACTCGATGCACCTGGGCGACTACAGCTACTACCAGAACACAGTGCGTATGCGGCGGTATTTCAGATTTTACATTGAATTTCATTTTAAATTTGAAATGATTTATCTTACGCCTCCTAAAAATGATGACACGATTTACTTTTGATAAAAGACCGACAACTTTTTGCTCTACTTTGCATCGAATACGATCCTACTATAGATACTTTTTTAAGGACTTGATCTATTTATAAAAAATCCTTTGAAAAAGATCTGAACTTATGATCTAAATTGAAGGATCTTAGATCCTGAAAAGTATCTAAGATCCCAAAAAAGATCTTAGATCTCAAAAATATCTTAGATCTCTTCAAATGCTAGACAAACATCCCTATATTAAGCAACTTTTTTTAAAATTTAATACTCCATTAGCATCATCAGCCTCAGTTGAAAGAATGTTCTCGTTTGCTACTTTTATTAATGCCCCAGGCGAAGTACACTTTCCCATAAAAATTTTGAAAATTTAGTTGTACTTAAGGCAAATTCATTAAGGCAAGTACCTACATAAGCATAATGTGTAAATTTACTGATTGTTAGAAAATATTTTCTGAGTTAAGTTGATAATATTATTTTGTGTATGTAACTAGTGTAGAAATGTTAAATATTTGACTATAGTTTAATTTCAGTATCTAATGCAGTGACATTCCAACAATTGGTTAGGTACTTCCATTAAAAGTTTATTTGCCGGCATGTGTTCTATTAAAATAAATATTTTCTCTAAAATAAATTCCAATAACTGACAATGGCCCAATTTATTGGATCTTAAGATCTTATGTTTTCTAAATGATCTGAAAAGTTACCTACTTTTTTAATCTTAGATCTCCTCCAACGATATAAGATATTTTTTTGATCTTGTACTCCCCCTAAACCTATTAGTTCAGGTTTACAATAATTATCAATAAATAGGTGTGGGTACAGAAAAAACTGATACGTAACAGACTATAATATTTATTAGTTAACACCAATGACACATGACATCAATAGCTGGACGTCTTATAAACGACTAACTCTACTAACCCTGCGGTGGCGCTCAGCGTCTCCAAACGGGAATGGGAAATTCGGTATTGACACAGCAAAAGATGGCTGACCTTAGGGCCTTAAATCGTGTTCTTCAGGCAGTATCTAGGGCACAGCGGGCTGGCGACGAGGGGAATACTGTGAACTCCGCAGTAACCACCTCTTAAGCTTTCCCGGAGGATCTCGATTGTCAGCAATCTCCTGGAGAAGCTACACAGCAGCTGATTCCTCCAGGCTCCTGATTTTTCACCTCCCTTCCGTCAATCACTTGACTTTTCCCTTCCGTCAATCTCCCCGCCTTCTCTCCATCGTTTTTTCCCTTGCTCGCGCACTTCACACCACCACTTAATATCTACAACTAATCTATTTACAACTACAATCTATTTTACAACTAAGCATGGGGTATTGCGACGGGCGCATTACAATCTTAGATCATATTTAATGATCTAAGATACTGATCTTTGTAAAAAGATCTTTTATAAAAGTATCTTGTATTAGAGATCTTTCTAATGTCAAATGATCTTTTTTAAAATGATCTATAGATACTTTTCAAAAGAGATCTAATATCTTTGATCTAGATCCTTTTTATAAGGATCTATCCCAGCTCTGCCATCTAAGCATAGACAATATAGAGGACAAAGGGCAGTATATCCACATCATGATTTCAAATACTAAAACGAACAAACCAAGAAGCTTCGCTGTGTTAAATGAAGGATTTTGTGTTAATCCAATTGAATTATTTCCCAAGAGGGAAAATGCACACGTCAATGTGTTGGTATTAATAAGCTATCAAAAATCCCTAATCTTGTTGCGCGATTTTTGGGCTTGTAACTCTCTTGGCCAATGCTGGAGGGGATATTATAACACTCAAACGCCACGGTGAATGGAAGTCATCTACCGTGGCAGAAGGTTATACAGAAGTGACAATTTCCAGCAAAATTGATATTGCTAAAAAGATACAAGGGGTGGAGACTCCTGAAGCAAGCACAAGCAAAGGGGCAACCTGTTCTATAAATTAACCACAATCACAAAATGATTCAAATAATCCTTTCGCATCAAATTACGGCTTTACCATAAATAATGTTAATGTTAATATTAATAAGTAGGTAGATTGTAAGTTTGTAGCATTTTAGGTTATTTGTTGATTTATTACTGTTCAAATTTGTTTTCTAATAAAAACTAGAAAAATAAACCAAATATTTGTCTTTTTATTTTATGATTTCTATAAGTCACTAGTGGGTTATAAGTTATAACTTACTAGTGACTTATAACTTATAACTCACTAGTGACTTATAGGCCACATTATTCCTTTAAAACCAAAGAAATTATAGTATCATTATATACAAGTATTGGATAAATTAATAAATCAAATAAAGGCTTTAAACGAAGATATGTATTGTTTGGAACCATACTTCATACTTTAGTCTCTAGATTAACTAGCATCATGTGCACTGTTTCATTTAAGAACACCTTGTGTATGCAACGCGAAAGGGACGCATAAAATCCAGAAAAAGTCGGGTAACTTTTTTGGCAAAATTTTGGTAACTTTTGTAAGACACATGGGAACGTTTATGTTTAATTACCCTGGTAGCAAAATCTTGCACAAGACGCATACAACACTGCTGTGTACCTACTGCTGAAATCAGCATCAGGTTTACTGCAAGATTCATTGTGCAATTGTCTTGATCAAAGCTTTCCATGGATTTGATTCAGGGCACTTGAGCGCAAAGGGGTAAATTAAAGCAAGTGACTATGTTGCAGACTTACATTAGAATTAAGACATATTGTACTTGACTTATACTAATTCACTCATTTGGACTCAAGTACTTTTGGTTAAGTCTGGTGCAAGTATTGTAAAAGTATCTTGCATAAGAAACGATATAAATTTCAGCAATAGACACAAAACAATCTGACACAATTTGGCTATTTCGAGTAAAATTGAAACAACTTGTATTAGCACAAGCATAGCTTTTTGGAGCTGTAAC